GGAACCCATTCATTGGGCACGCTCAAATGAAACAGGAAAAGTACAAAGAAAGTAAAAATCACCTGGGATCCCACCCCTTGGATGTTCCTGTGTTGGCTGGTGTCTGTCCACAGCTAGGGCAGGGCAGCCTGATGGAGGTGACATTATTCCACACGTTTGGGTCTGTCCTCTATCTCTATCCTCCCACCGTATTGTAGAACACAACGATTTTTTTTTTTTGGAAGAGTTGTCTCCACTCCTAGACTTCACTCCTAACCTTCACAACCCACAAACATCTGCTCAAGCTCCTACCTCTCAATGGAAACCACACTATGGTCACCAATGGCCTCCCTGTAGCTAAGTCAGAAGTTTGGGAACTTTCCTAAAGTCACTTGACAGACTGAAAGATGAGATAGTCCTGGACTAGGAGGCAGGACCTTGGTTTCTGGTATAGGCTCCCCTCTCAGGGGACCAGCTTGTTGGGCCACTCAGGTGTGTCTGACACCACTGACCATTTTCTTCCTGGGTCACTCCCCTCCTGGGTTCCCTGATATCACACACACCAGATGCCTCCCAGTTCAGCCACCCTCTAGCTACCTCTCCTTCCACCTTCTCTGTGCTTCCAGTGTCAGTGTTCTTCTGCCCTGGCCTTACATTTTCTCACCCTCTGGGGTCTTCTCATGCTATGGACTGAATGCTTGTGTCCCCCAGCCCCCAAATTTCATACATTCATATGTTGAAACCTAACCTGCAATGTGAAGGTCTTTAGAGGTTGGGCCTTTGGAAGGTGATTAGGTCATGAGGGTGGAGCCCTCATGAATGGGATTAGGGCCCTTACAAGGCAGACTCCAGAGAAATCCCTCATCCCTTCTGCCATGTGAGGACACAGCCCAAAGACAGCCATCTATGAACCAGGAGGCAAGCCCTCACCAGACATTGAACCTGCTGGTAACTTGATCTTGGACTTCCCAGCCCCTGGAACTATCAGAAATAAATTTCTGTTGTTTATAAGCCACCTAGTCCATGGCATTTTTGTATAGCAGCCTCAAGGAACTAAGAAACCCTAGGTGAGCTCCATCTCATTGCCTGGGACTTCAAACTCCCCATCTCTAGCCCAGATCTCTCCAGAGTTCACACCTGGTTGTCCCCCTACCCCTCACCTCATGGGCCTCCCCACTGGTGCCCACACTGGTCCTCAGTATTGGCCTTCACAGCCAACTGGAACTAGAACCAGAGGGCTCCACCCAGCCTCCCAGAGCTCCAGACCTTCAGCTTTCTGTGTTGGGAGGCTCTCCCCTCTGCCCAGAGCTTAATGCTGGAACTTTTCCAGCCCAGCCTCCCACCGTTGTTCTATCTGTTTGAGTCTCTAGCTGTGTGCACAGTGGAATATTTAGACAATAACCATTATTTCAGCATTTCACTGAGGAAAAAAGAAGCACTTAAGAAAATATCTTTTGAATGTCTTTTCTACTGCTTCAGACCATTTCATTTATGGCCCCACGGCAGCCCACCCCAAGAGGCCAGTCATCTAGGGGTGCTCAAGTCTGGAGTTAGACACCATCTGGATTCAAAGGCCAGCTCTACGAGTTGCCAACTGTGTGAACTAAGATACATTGCTAAAGCTCTGTACCTCAATGCCCTCATCTTTAAAATGGGGATAGACATAGGCCCTACCCCATTGAGAGGATTCAATGAGGTTATGCATGGCAAGTGCTTGGCATACATCAAGTGCTTTAGGAATGTCATAGATACTTATGGCTGAGAAAACTGTGACGTAGAGGGGAAGGGAAATGTCCCCATCATAATCTGTAGCTATTGCAGTCATCTGTTATAAGTCACAGTTAAAAGACTACACTTCATTTTTTTTTTTTTTTTGAGGGTCTTGCTCTCTTGCCTGGGCAAGTGGTACAGTGGTGTCATCATAGCTCACTGCAACCTCAAATTCCTGGGTTCAAACGATCCTCCTTCCTCAACTTCCCGGCTCAGGTGTGTGCCACCATGCTCAGCTAATTTTTGATTTTTTGTAGTGATGGAGTCTTGTTATGTTGCCCAGGCTGGTCTCAAACTCCTGGCCTCAAATGATGCTCCTTCCTGGGCCTCCCAAAGTGCTTACAGGTGTGAGCCACCATGCTTGGCCTGCACTTTTTGATGGAAGGCTAGCTCTGGGCATGATTAGGCAAATCTGATTTTGGAGCCTCCTCAGATGAAAGGCCTGTGTTCCCTAAGTAAGCTCTCAGGTTGTAAACAATTCCCACCTGGGGCATCAGAGACTGGGCTATAGGGTTTCCTCTTCCTTCACTAACTTTGGGCAGATTACTCCCCCTCTCCAGTCCTCAGTTTCCTCTTCTATAAAATGATGTTTTTGAACTGAATGATAGGGAAGATCTCTTCCTCCAAACTCCAACTCCAGATGTCTGAATCTGTCTTAAATCCCTAAGAAGTTATCAGTGACATTACAACAATGTCACTGCAGTTAAGTATCTTTTTTTTTTTGAGACAGAGTCTGGCTCTGTTGCCCGGGCTAGAGTGCTGTAGCATCAGCCTAGCTCACAGCAACCTCAAACTCCTGGGCTCAAGCAATCCTTCTGCCTCAGGCTCCCAAGTAGCTGGGACTACAAGCATGCACCACCATGCCCGGCTAATTTTTTCTATATGTTTTTAGTTGTCCAACTAATTTCTTTCTATTTTTAGTAGAGACGGGGTTTTGCTCTTGCTCAGGCTGGTCTCAAACTCCTGAGCTCAAATGATCCACCTGCCTTGGCCTCCCAGAGTGCTAGAATTACAGGTGTGAGCCACTGCGCCCGGCCCAGTTAAATATCCTTAACTGGATACTTGGTTCTCCAAGATTCAGGGGACCCGATCTCCCTGAAACTGTCGGCAAAATTGTCAGCAGAGGTAACGTGTGTGTACACGTGTGTAATTGCTCACATCTGAGCATTTTTCTGGGAACAGCTTTCTTTACCTTTGCAAAGGAGGTCTGTGATCACAAAAGATTACCACCAGCCTGGTTCAGGCCCCATCACCTATCTGGACTACAGAGGCTGCCTCTATAAACTAGCCTCACCTCCCTTTTATTTTTCTGTAATGTATTTTCCACTGGGGTATCTTTACAAATTTTGATGCCAACTGTCATTCCCGTTTAAATCTGTCCACTGGATCCAGTTGCTCAAATTCCTTGCAGGGCATCTAAAGTCCATCATAATCCTACCCAGCCTTCTTCCATACTCCTCATATCCTGCCATGAGCTGGCCCATTTTCTCCTTCCTCACCCCCTCCATGTGCCCTCTGTTCCTGCTCACACGGAACTTTTCACTGCTTCCAGAACGCGTTGGGGTCTTTCACATCTCTCTTGCTTTGAATGGGCTTCCCTGTACTCCATCTGGCAAACTCCTCAGGGAGCTTCACATTCCAACCCAGGCAGGTCACCTCCCTTATGTTGTCTTGTCCCCACCCCCTCGCCAAGCTAGGCACACCCTTCTGTGCTCTCACTCCTTTAGCACAACAATATCCCCACTATACTGTAATTGTGTGTTTTAAGTCCCGGTGTTCCCAAGTAGATAGGACGCTCTCCCAGGAAAGAAAGTGTCTGATTCACCTTTTAATCCCCAGTACACAGTAGCACAGGGCCTGGCACCATGTATGTACCCGTAAACACTATTTTAAGTGAGTCAGTAATTAATGAAGGGGTAAGTCAATGAGTGAACAGGCCGAGTAAGAATAGCTACACCTGACCACCCGACGCGCGTTGGGTTCCACACCTCCCCCTTCGGCCCCGCCCCCTCTGTTCCGCAGGAACTACATTTCCCAGAAGGCGCCGCGTCCTGGGCATGCGCAGCGGAGCGCTCGGAAGCTGCGACGCTGAGTTTTACTCTGACTGCCTTCTTCAGAGAGTCGGAGCCACAGTCGGAGCCCTTCCCAGGCCAACCGGAGCTGCAGCCCGACCGCGGCGGTGCCCTCAGCCCGTCCCCTCGCCCTCCTCAGCCTCGGTGAGAGGGCGGCGGGCCACCTGCTCGTCGCCAGGGCTGGGGTCCCGAGTGCGGGGGTGGCGGGGGGAGACCAAGCTGAGCTGGGGCCGGAAGGGGGCGGGCGCGGGAGGGCAGGGCCGGGCGGCTGACGAGGGACGGGGTCCCGGGGGAGTGGGACTACCGGCTCCGGGCCCGAGGTTCTGGAGGCGGGAGTTGGGAGACTTGGGAGGCGCGGGGAGTTTAGGACAGGACTGAGTGCTGGCTGGGAGGGTGGAAGCTGACTGAATCTCAGGGGGAAGGGCGCCGCTCCTGGGAGTTCGGGTCAGTTGGGAGGCGTGTACCTCTTCCCACAGAACCTGGGGGGAGGCGGTCGTGACCCTGCCATCCGGCTACCTGGCGAGGATCTGTGTTCTGCTGGGTCTGCCTCTAGGGGAAGGACTCACTGGGCCGGGGGCTGTACTTTGGAGGAGTTTGCTTGCTAACTCTGCTTCACTCAAGTGGGGTCCGCCATCCCGGAAGCTCTTGTTTCCCGGGGCTCTGCGTCCCTTCTGGGGGTGCGTGATGTGTGCTGAAGAGGATTTAGAACTATTCCTTTTTCTGGAGCTGCGCTTTCATGATCCCGCCTTTCTCAGTCAGCCGCGGTGCTCCACGCTGGCTCCACTTCCCTAAGCGCGATGGAATTAGGATATGTACAGACGCTTGGGCCCGTGAGAAACTCAACTCAAAAATATTTCTGCGTTCCATCGTAGCTTCTCTAGAGTTCTAGAAAGTAGACTTTCTGGTAGCCAAAATCTTACTTAAGCCACTCGGATAACTAGGCCTTTTGTTCATTTGCTGTGTGACCTTGGCCAAATATTTATCCTCTCTGGTGTGTCGATTTCTGAGATGCCTACGCTGCCAGACTAGCTTATGAAGCCCTTTTAGGTCTTTCTGTGAAAGGGCTCAGGTTTATTTTTTTTACCATCTCCTCGGTTAAGTGGGCAGAGGAAAACTATTGTAGCTTCTCCTCTGCCCAGGCTGTTGGAAAATAAATCAGGTGCTTTTCAGTCCCCAGCCACAGCACACAGATTCAACATCTGTGCACTCGTTTTTACTAACTGCTGTTTTTCAATTTAAAATCTGATCATCTTCTTCCTTGTTGGCAAAGGTGCCTTGGAATTTGTGTCGCTGAGTCAGCAACCCTTTCAGATTTGCCTGGTTTTTGTTGTTTGCGATTTATATCAAGATGGGAACTCAAACAAGTCATTCCTCCTAAAGATCTGCTGTCTCCATCAAGAAGAGACAGTTTGTGCCAGCTCTCCAGAGAGAAAAGGTGAGAGCCATGGGACTTTCCCTTGCTGCCTTGTCTATCTGGTTTTCAGTAGAGAAGATGGGGCCTGGGGAGGGTGGAATTTGAGGTCTCCAGGATGAAAGTGAGCCCTGGGAGTTGATTGTTGATTGCCAACTGTCTCAAATAAATTCAGGTGGCTTCTTGCCAACTGCCTCTCCTGTTTAACCAGTCTTAGAGAATGCTTTCCACATGGTTTTCACTTTAAGACATGCTTTATGAGATGAAGGACACAGGTCATGATTTCCGCATTTGAACTGAAAATTTTCATTTCTTTTGTTGCATAAACCTTTACTGGGTGCTAGACAAGGTCTCTTTCTTCTGGGAGCTCATCATTTGGTGGAAATGATAGACAAACCATGGTCAGTGACAAGATGTTGTCAGTGTGATATGACTTACAAAGTGGGGCAAAGTAGCCTGGCAGAGGAGTGAGCATTTGCAAAGTCATGAAGTCACCAGGGCACAGCTGGGCTACTGTAAGTAGCTCAGTGTGGCTGGGGCAACAAGGGGTAGGGTAGCAGGGTCCAGGCAGGTAGGTAGAGGGCTGAGTGTGGAGGGTTTTGTGGGCCATGCCAAGGCTCTGGGGAGCAGGAGGAGTTTAGCAGAATTCCTTGATGAGGGTTTTAAGGGAGCATACTGGCTGCAAAGTGTGGAATGGATTAGATTGGATTATTTTCTTTGTGACTGTCCCCTAACACCATGCCAGCTTCTGGTAGACGAGAAGTAGATGAGAGATTTTCCCCTCAGTTGCTCACAGTCCAAGTGAAGAGATCAAATGAACGTAGAGAACTGCAAAGGACAGACAGAATGCTGTGAAAGTTAAGAGGGTGTTTTGTTTCTATGGGGCACATCAAGGCATCACGGAGGTGCTGTTTAAATTGGGCCTTAAAATATGGGTAAGGTAAGGGTAGGGGGCCAAGTGAGTTGGGTGGGAGGTGGAGCAGAGACATGGAGGTGGGGAAACCCTGGACTTAGATGGGAGTAGCAGATCTAGTCACTTAACTCTCAGGTGGGGGGTGTTGTAGAGAGGAGGGTATAGGTAAGAGGGATTGGAGGGAAGCACATTGGTGTATATTGTTGGGAGGGAGGGACCATATTGTGATGGGCTTTGACTTGTCGACCAAAGGAATTGGAACTTTATTCTGAAGTGATGTGGAAGAGACAGGATCAGAATTGTACTTTAGGAAGCTTAGTCTTTTACCCATGTGTGTGTGAGGTGGACTAGGAGGAGAGATAAGAGTTGGAGAACTCTTGGGGAGGGAGTACTTTATTAAAGCAGAAAAGTCCCCACCAAATGCTAGCAGTGGGGGCTGAGGACGTGAGGGGAGAGCAGGCCAGACAGCTGCTGGGCTGTGGGGAAGGTTGAGAAGTGGGAATCTTGGATTTTTCTCCTGGCTGCCTGGGGCAGAGTGGAGCCAGGTAGTCCAGGGACAAGGACAGTTAGGGAGGAAGATAAGTTTGGCTTTAGATGTGTTGAAGGTACTTAAGAGGCCATGGGCTAGGGAGAAAAGACATTCATTCCACAAATACCTCCTGAAATTTTGTGTGCCAGGGCTTGTGTTTGGCACTTTGGATTACAAAGATGAATTCAGCAGTCACTTTGGTGTTTGCTTTATGAGAACTAGATTAATATACACTCATCAATGTTCATGCATAGCCTACTTTTGTTTATTTGGTAAGTTATTTTTAATAGATGTAGTAAGCTCTGGCAGTCCAGCCACCCAAAACAAAAGCTATACATCTAATCATTCATTTCATTTGGTTTTTCTTTCTGTTCTCTTCCTGAGGGAACCAGTATCCCCTCATGTCCATTTTTACACAGGTTTATGATACCCATGTATTTCTAAGGAAAGTAAAAAATTTTATGTTAAGATTTATCCGTATTATTTTATGTCGTCACGGGCACTTAGTAGTGTCCAGGTTTTTATTCTTGCGAGCGTCCTGCTCTGAACATTTCTGTACATGTCTCGTACATATACAAGAGAATAAACTTAGGGGTGATGTTCCGCTGGATCATAGCGGGTAAATAAGTGTTCAGCTTTCATAGATACTGCCAGGCTGTTTACTGAAGTGCTTGTTCCAACGTCCACTTCACCAGCAGCAATGTATGGGCCTTGCAGCTGCTCCAGTCATGTCATCATTTGCTATTGGCATATTTTTTGTTTTGGCTAATTGAAGGGGTATCAGGTGGGATCTTTGGGATCTTGGTTTCTGGGTCCCTGAGCCCTGACGTTGAATATCTCTTCTATGTTTATTGGCATATGTGTTTCTTGTGCAACATTCAAGTCTTTTGCCAGTTTTTCTGTATTCTTGGTGCTTTGTATTGATCTTTAGGAGTTCTTTCTATATTTAATGCTTAGTGTATATTGTGAATCTCTTCTCCCAGCTCATAACTTATTTTCCCACTTTAAGGTGTCCTTTGTTGATCAACTATTCTTAATTTTAACATAGTGAAATGTGTTTTTTTCACTTACGCTCAGTGTTCTGTGTCTTTGAAAAATCTTTTCCTGAACGTAATCCTTGCCTTTAAGGAGCTTATGCTTTCGCTAGCGGAGGAGCTAGATAGATAATTGCACTCAGATGTCACATGGGCATTGATTGTTAGAAGTGGCCTCTTCTGCCTACAGAGCAGGAGTGAATGTAGGAAAGATTTCATAGAGCAGAGAGTCTTAAGCTGACAATTAAGAGATGAGTAAGTAGGTGGGTGGGGTAGATGTTCTGGGGGTGGGGTGGGGGTTGGTAAAGGGCATGAAATGGCCTGGCCCATTCTGAGCTCTGCTAGGAGGTCCAGATGGCCAGAGCCAAAGGTTTGAGGGGCTCAGGCAGGAACATCATGAAGACAGATTTGGGTGATCTGGGGATTATTGAAGCCATGGGATCAGGTACTGAGAGTCTAGGGGCAGTGTAGAGAGGGAGGAGAAATAGGTGAGGGCCTGAAATCCTGATGCAGAGAAAGTTGTCAATGCCTGATGTGGCTCCCGGGATCACTTGGGTTTCCTGGGTGTGGGCCCTGATGCCTGCTATGCTGTTGGATGCTGTATTTCATCCTTGGGTGTTGGGCAAAGGCTGACCTGTCTGCAGAGCGCAGGGCATATTATTAATAAGGCTAGCCAGAGGCATAAGTGCTCTCTCACTTTTTGATAGAGCCGTGGGTTCAGAGAAGTATTTCTCAGCTATAGGAGAGTGGAAGCACGGTGATGGGTGTTGGGAGGTGATAGGGCATGGGTGTAGAGCATAGCCCATGGGCCAAATCCAGCCCACTGCTGTTTTTGTTCATAAAGTTTTATTGGAGCATAATCACTCCCATTAGTTTACACATTTTGCTTTGTTTTGTTTTTGAGACAGGGTCTCAACTCTGTTGCCTGGGCTAGAGTACGGTGGTATCATCATAGCTCACTGCAACGTCAAACTCTTGGGCTCAAGTGATCCTCCTGCCTCAGCCTCCCGGATTAGTTGGGACTACAGGCACATGCCACTCACTACGCCTGGCTAATTTTTCTATTTTTTTGTAGAGATGGGGTTTCATTCTTGCTCACGCTGGTCTCAAACTCCTGGCATCAAGTGATCCTCCTGCCTCGGCCTCCCAGAGTGCCAGGATCACAGGTGTGAGCTGTGGTGCCCTGCTGGTTTACACATTGTTGATGGCTGTTTTTGCGGTACGGTGGCAGAGTTGAGTAGTTGCAAAGACTTTTTTCGCCCTTTATAGGAACAGTTTGCCAGTCCTTGCCATAGGGAATAGTGGTAACTGTAGTTACCCAGAGAGTATGTTCCAGCCACCACTGTGGTTCAGCTAGTTGTTACTGGGTGGATCACAGATCTAGGTCTGGCCTGCAAATGTTGCCATCTTTTCTGATTTTCAAGAGAAGCTGGAAATCTAGATTTTTTTTATGATAGATATTCCAATTTTTAAATATAAGCTCAATTAATTTTTTTAGAGACAGGGTCTCGCCATGTTGCCCAGGCTGGTCTCAAACTCCTGGCTTCAAGTGATCGTTTGCCTGGGTCTCCCAAAGTGCTGGGATTACAGGCATGAGCCAACATGCCCGGCCATTTCAGCTCGATTTAAAAAGGCAAAACCTGCACAGGCCAAGCAAAACACACCTGCAGGCCTGTTTGTGCAGCATCAGTTTACCTCTTCTGTCTTGGTAGGGAAGGACAAGGACTCTGGAAACAGATTTGGGTTTACTTAGTTCCTGTGTAATCTTGGGCAAGTTATTTCTTTTGCCTCATTTTCATCAGTTATGAAATGGAGAGAATAGTTGTGTGTCCCACCGCTCCCTCCTCCCAATCGTGAGGATCACCAAGAACACTGATAAGGTACTTAGCACAGTTCCTGGCACATGGTAGCCATTACTGTTATTACTATATCTACTGCTGCATCCACTACTCCCCCATTTTGTCCCCTGGGTAGGCCCTTAAACCAGAGTTCTACCCTCTGACTGGCTGCAGGTGCTCAGGTTGCTCTTGGCCAAGCAGGAGCCAGCAGATCTTTGTTCTGGAGCGGATGGTTGCCCAAAAGGGGATTGTAGGTTGCTGGGGCTTGTGCCCTTGCTACCTTGTGGCTTTCTGAACCTCATTTGAAAGGTTCTACTCTGACCTACCCTTGGAGGGCTCAAGTCAGGCCCCAGCCAGAAGAGGAGTTGTCACTTCCCTTCCAGCCACCTAGTGAGCAAGGGACAAATCACATGTTAGTTTCTTACCATCTCTCTGAAACCTAGTAAGGACTGGGTAGCACTGGCTTGAGTGATCTCTTTTCAAGACAGCAACTCCATCTCGCAGTGCTCACAGGACTGCTGTAATAGTTAGGCACCTGCATGGTTTGTTCTTTGCATTTTCTTGGAACTCAGGCTTCTGGGATGTGTTACTGGCAAGGGGGTGCCGTGGTAAGTTGACAAGGCCTATTAGTGAAACCCCACCAGGGTGGTGGCAGCCATTTAAAGTAATGATGGTAAGTAACAGAGGTGGTGGTGCTTTGGTGTATATTT